TACATCTCTTGAAGTTTTCTTAAAATACGAATTGTCCCATCTAGTTTGAAAATTACAAATACCCCTTTGTCAGAATTTTTTATTTAACAGAATTAATTGAAAAAGTGAAATTTCTAACTATTTACTTATATAATAATAAAATTATTTAAATTATTAATTGAAATAAAATTTTAACATTATTGAAAACTGTTAATTAACTTGATGATTTATTAATAAGAGAACCTATTTGTTATGAAATTAAAAATATTAGGGGCATAATGTAATTCTTAGAATCACAGAGGGTAATTTGTAATTTAAATAAATCTCAGGAGATGTATTTGTAATTTATCCTAATTTAATTTTCTTAAATATAATAAGATAAAAATATTAAAATGTTACACTTAATACTCATTTTCATTTCTTTTATTTCTCATCTTACATTTTTTAAGATTCATTACTTTGTAACTTTATTATTTATAACATATCATATTATGTCTTCTTTCTCTCAATATGGTCATTAGGAATATACTCGGTTCGGTACAGCATGTATTTGGATAAAAATTTTCAACGAATCGATAATGTCAATTTTATTATTTTAAGTATCAATACAAACCGATTCTTTTATTAAAACACATCAATTGAAATTGTTCAATTCGGTACGGTTTAATTGGTCTAGAACCTTTTAAATTTGTATTATTTTTTAGTATAATCACTAATTTATATGTAAAAATATTGAATTAGTCATTTGTCCACCACTTCAAACATAACCAATCCGTTTATTTAAAAAATGCTTTTCAATTCTTACATTAACAAATATACCAAAAAAAACAAAATTAATAATTAATAATAATAAATAAATAAATATTAGGACTTCAAAAATAGTGAGTTAGAGTGAACATTATATAAAATATGACTTTACTAATTTAGGTTATAGAGATGATAAAATTAATTAATTGAAGTTAATAATTTATTATATTTATTAATATCATTATATTATTAGATTATATAGTGATTTTGGAAAAACATTTCTAAAAAATTTGTTTGGTTTATAAATTTTCCAAACAATTTTCAAAATCACTTTCTCTCTCTTACCTATCAATCAATCACTTTTTCTCTCTCCTCTCTCGTTCTCAATCACTTTCTCTCTCACACATCTACTCAATTATAACACAATATCAAATCATTCTAAACTCCTAAACTCCAAAACTACTTTCAAAATATACAATCAAACAAACCAAAAAAATTTCTAAACTTTCTCCCCAAAGCAATTTTTAAAAACTACTTTCTCAAAACCAAACCAAAAATACCCAATATATTTTAAAGCGATCGGTTTTAGTTTAAATCGGTACACAAAGTGCTTGAATCGATATTGAACGAAAAATTGAAAAAAAAATAAAATTAAAAAAACCAAAAAGACCAATTCTTGTCAAAAAAAAAAAAAAAAAAAGAAGAGATTATATATGGCTAATTTGGAAGTCCAATTATTGTCAAAAAAAAATAATCTCTTCGCCCAAGGGTGGATGGCATTGTGGTTAAGGCTTGGGGTTTAAACCCTAAGGTCATAGGTTCAATTTCCTTCTCTTCTGAGCCAATCTCCTGAGCGAAGCACAGTTGCTTAGGAGGTTGGACCTCATGTTGTCTAATCAACACTTGATGTAGGTTCAATGCTCACCGTTGTACGCGTCCTGACTTTAGCGGAGCTTATTTTGGGAGGTCGAAGCAAGTTCCCAAGTTATAGTATTCTCGCTCGGAACGGCTAACAGGATACCCTGATAATATCTGTAAGAGACACTGTCTTGAATCTGGGGAAGGATATGAATGATTTTCCTGTAACAAAAAAGAAAAGAAAAGAAAATTTCATAATATTTTTTTCATCAATTTTAATATTATTAAAAAAGAATAATAAAAATTGAAGGGAATTCTCAATGTACAATTTTGAATGCAACATTTCTCTACAGTGAGAGAGTGCCCGGAAGATGTGCTGCCATGATGGCTCCACCCCCTCTCTCTCTCTCTCTCTCTATCTCTCTCTACATATATATATATATATATATATATAATATGCACATTGCATGAAATGTAGAGAGGTGACAAATGGAGAGGACGACACTAGCTCCAGATTTCAACGCTTTACACAGTCTTGGAAATTTGTGCCTTTGAAAGAGAGAGTAACGACACCACGTAATATGTCAAATCTCCCTCCATTTCCCAAACTCCAATTTTCATTTTCTATTATATATTTCAAAGAAAGACCCATATGGAAGGTTTTTTTAATTAGATAATAATCATCAATATGGTTCTAAGTATATTCAATAATAATAATATTAAAAACTCATAAAAAGAAAATTTACAAAATTACATCAATAAATTATATTCATTTTAAGTCTCAAATATTTTCATCATAAAATTAAAACCAAAAAAGAAAGGAGTTTTCTTAAGTGTGCAAGTGCACACCATGTGCCACTTACACAAAAAGTGTAAGTGTAAGGTGTAAGTATAAGTATAAGGTTTAAGTGTAAGGTGTAAGTGTAAGGTGTAAGGTGTAAGTGGGTTGCACATGGTGTGCAACCTCAAAAAATGTGTAAGTGTAAGGTTTAATTTTTTACAAAAGGTGTAAGTGTAAGGTGTAAGTGTAAGGTATAAGGTGTAAGGTGTAAATTGCACACCATAACCAAACCCAAAAAGAAAATGATTACTTGACTTTGTCTCTTATTTGTCAAGCCTCAGCCTAGTCTCTCTCAAACCTTGAGAAAAAGAGAGGTGGGGACAGTGACGTTGATAGAAATTTAATATACGGGGTATTTATTTATTATAATCTCAATTTTTTTTTCTTCAATCAATAACAATAACATAATAATAATATTTCAAGTTAATATCAAACATTAAAAATTAGTATTCATTACAAAAATATTTTAATTTTAAATTTTTACAATTGATTCCGATGAGTTTTCAACTTTTGAAATCTTTCCATGATAGTATCATAGTCAATGTCATCAAAAATATCTCTCTCAATATAGACAACCAAGTTATCATTCATACACTCATCACCCATTCGGTCCACAACCGATTATTCACAATATTTGTAGTTGAAAATACCCTCTCAATAATAGCAGTTGCAACAGGTAAAATTATTGCTAAAGTCAAGAGCAAATACACCAATGGATATACTTTGTCTCTTTCAATCTCTACCATTTTTCTAGCAAGATCGACAATTCTATTCAACATTGAAAACTCACTACTGGATAGCATATCGATAATATATATATATATATATATCAAGTTGATCGTTAAGTACCATGAGCTCTACTGAAAAAAAATTGTTTGGAATAAAATTCGGCAAGATGAATTAACTTGTTCTTGTCAAAACTGGAGAAAGAGTTAAATGGATTCAAATGTGCCACACAAAGTAACAACTCAATGTTTGACTCAGTGAAACGAGCATTTAGTTTTTGAATTTGCATATCTTAAACAGTGTAGAATAATTCAACACGATAGTGATGTAAGTCAGTAATTTTTTGAGTATTGTGCCTTTTTCTCTCTCGAGCTACAAATATATCATCCATTTGGGGAACATCCATTTCATGCTTTTATGCATATTAATATTAATAAATTTAAAATAAGAGCAAAATAAAAAAATTCATGTTATTTTTATTTTTTATTTTTAAAAAATAATTAATATTTTAAGGTAATAAAAAATAAAATAAGAAATTAATATTTTAAAATGGAAAGGAATAAAATTTATAATCTTCATAATTAACAACAGATCCATCAAGGATACATATACCACTATATAAGTTTATTTTAGAAAATTAATTAAAAGTTAATTTTTTTACTTTTTATTTTTTTTAATTATATTATTTCTCTATCTTTTTATAAAAAATTAAAAAATTAATTTTTAACCTATTTGTGTCATAATCAGCTATATATATATATATCAAAAATGTTTGGGATCCCATTTGGAGATGACTTCACACTCCCAAAGTGATCCTGACTCTCCATGTATATGTGGGGCCCACTCAATCATTGCTCATATGTATATCCATTAAAAAAATGCCGGAGGCAATGGTGATTGCATCCCCTGGGAGTAGCAAATTTCATCTTTAATATACACACACTCTACACAGCACAGATCCCAAAAAAAAAAAATTGTAAAGTCAGGGGGCACGTGAACCCCCTCGCCCCCGTGTCCCTCTGCCCCTGGGTGGGGAAGGAGTAGTTGAAAAGTAGGAATTATGGGTATGCAACCTTTTTTTAGTGCATGCCTTTTATGTCTCAAAAAGTCAATTTGGTGCCTTAAATCGAGAAAGAAGGTACTCTTACTAAGAAAAACCCACGTAGAAAAGATAGAAAGCTAAAACGAAAACGACTATGAGAATGCAATCAAGCAAAGCAAATCAAATCAAATTAGTTTAGCTTTTGTTCTCTTTTGAAAATTTAATTAGGTCGTCATGCACACTCAATCCTTACCCTCTAATTTGACAATTCAATTTTTCACTTTTTTGTCAACATTGGTAGGAAACAGAGCATTTGAGGCATCATTCATCATATTAAAGTGTCACTTTTTTTTTGGGTAAAACTTCCAATTACACAATTACATAGAATTGAAAGAAAGACAATCAAGAAGTGCCGAAGGACGGGATACCTAATCCAAAAGTAAGAACTTGTTGAAATGGTTGAAAGAGATATGAGAATTATGTAAAAGCCTGTATTTATAGGCTGCCTACAAACCTAGATAAGTATAGAAAGAGATAGAGATAACGAGAGAGATAGAGATAGACAAAGATAGAGATAAACTATATCTACAATACAAGGAGATAAATATAAATCTAAATCTATAAATCCAAATCTAATATATACATTAACAGTCCCCCTCAAACTCAAGGTGGATAGGCATCAACCAACTTGAGTTTGGAAACTAGATCACTGAAACGACCAGGAGGATGAGCCTTGGTGAAGATGTCGGCTGTCTGATTGGCAGTGATAACAAAGATAAGATGAACAGTGCCACTAGTAACATGCTGTCATATAAAGTGACAATCAAGCACAATATGCTTTGTGCGACCATGGAAGACATCATTATGGGCAATTTGAATAGCACTCTGACTATCACAATAGAGGTTAATCGCAGTAGAATGAGAAACCCCCATATCAGAAAGAAGCCAGTGAAGCCACACGAGCTTCTGAGTAGTGTCAGCAAGAGCACAATACTCAGCCTCAGCACTAGAATGAGCAACAAGAGTTTGCTTCTTGCTACACCAGGCAATGAGAGGGTCACCCAAGAAGAAGCAGAATCTTGTAGTAGAACGGCGATCAGTAGGATCCCCTGCCCAATCAGCATCAGAAAATACATGTAACTGCAAGGAAGAATGAGCAGAGTAGTGAAGACCATGAAACATAGTGCCTTTGAGATATCGTAAAATGCGAACTAGAGCATCATAGTGTGGAGAGCGAGGATCAGCCATGAACTGACTAACAATGTGAACAACGTAAGTAATGTCTGGATGAGTAACCATGAGATAGACAAGACTGCCAACTAGTTGACAATATAAAGTATCATCAGACAATAGGTGATCGACAAGAGGTGTGAGACGAGTCTGAGGATCAACGGGAGTAGAGGTAGTTTTGCAATCGATAAGACCAGCATGAGCCAAGAGATCAGAAGTATACTTGGCTTGGGAGAGAAAGTAACCAGACGAATTATAAGAGATTTCCAAGCCGAGAAAATAGCTGAGAAGACCCAAATCCTTCATCTCAAACTGACGACTGAGAAACTATTTGAGACTAGAGGTACCCACTGTGTCATCGCCAGTGATGATCATATCATCCACATAGAGAAGAAGAAGAATAGTACGATCATATGAATAAAAAGGGTAGAATCATAGGCACTTGAGGAGAATCCAAAATCATAAATGGTGCAGCTAAACTTGTTGAACCAGGCACGAGGAGCTTGTTTCAAACCATACAAAGCATGGCGAAGTTTACAAACATTGGAGAACGGCACAGAGGAACCAGGTGGAGGTTGCATATTAACTTCCTCAGTGCGATCGCCATTGAGAAATGCATTCTTCACACCCATCTGACAAAGTTTCCAGTGGCGAGTAGCAGCAACAGCAAGTAAACCATGAACAGACGTCAGACGGGCGATAAGAGCAAAGGTTTCTTCATAGTTTCTTCATAGTCAATCCCATATTCTTGTGTAAAACCCCAGGCAACATGACGTGCTTTGTAATGCTCAACAGAACCATCGTTATGTGTCTTTGATCTTGTAACTAACAATACTTTTGCCAAAAGGAAGATCAACCAAATCCCAAGTATGAGTTTTATCAAAAGTCTGTAGTTCATTATGCTGCTAAAGAGGGTTAGAACAATCCTCTTTATAGGAAGTAGGTTCATGAGAGAAAAATGCAATAAAACCAACAATGAAATCACGAAGAAGGACAGAATATTGTGTTACCCGAGTAGAATGACGAAAAGGTACCTCAGAAGCAGAGCTTGTAATGCCCCAAAAATAATTCACATAATCTAACTATATTAATCAACAATCACCAAATAATAAAGACAATATTTCTTCCATCTTTACATTTTTAAATGAACGTGCTTACACAAAATTTCACATGCGGATATACATTCAATGGCACCAAAAACACATGAATCTATAGCATGTGAAACATCTAGTTTTAAGCAATTAAAATTCCCTTAAGGGCTTACATCTTCCAAGGCATAAGCCTGGTTACACAAAATGGTCTCTCGGACCCATATAGGTTAGCCCTTGGCTTTACAAAAAGAAAGAAATTTTACAACAAAACAAAAAAGTAATCTACTCTTCACAAAAGCATATCCACGCCCTCAGCTAGACGGGATCACTACATCTTTACCTGTACCAAAGTCCCATAGGGGTGAGCGTAAAGTCAAGTAGTGAATTCTAACAAAGTATATACAGTTATGCAAACCTCCTCAACATCATATGCAAAGGTGATGCCATGCAATGCCATTATAAGGAAAAACTTTATTTCGAAGCACAACTTAAAAATCACTCAACAATTTCAAACCTTCCAATTCTTTTTTTATTCAATAGGGGCGGTAAATACGACACTGGTAATCCCTAGGCTGGTGTCTACAAATAGACTCTACAAGTACTACCAAATTGTCATTTTTATCGGTATTAACCGGAAGGCTCGACACCTATCTGCGCGGGTTTCTGGTCTTTCACCATAGACACTCAGGCCAACTTATCAAATTCGTCTACACCTCCTAACTGGACTTACCTATTTACCCCATAACACATTTCCATAGTTCTTATTACAATATCTTTTTCTTTCATGAAATAAATATCTTCAATCTAAATTTACAATGCATAATAATAAATTAAATAAATATGCAATACAAGGATTCTCCATACCTCATAGCATTTCTCTATTTCAAATATTTCTACAATAATATCAACAATCACTTTTCTCAATTCCTCCCTTCAATATTCTTCCACAAGATAAGCACATGTCATCAACACATAACTACAATTTCTCATCATGCATAATTCTCAACAATGTGGTATATTCAAGACTACATGTGATGTTTTCAAATATTAGTTTCCAATGTTCACAATTCTCACTAGCCATGGTGCACAACAATTTGTCACTTCACAACAATGCGTTTTTCAAGTGTTTAGCAATAATGCTAAAATAACATCTTATCTCTCATATATCAAGTAAAATGCTATTTGCTAAACATATGGTGAAAATTCACTCTCAATCATTCTCTTGACACAAAACTATAATGAACCCTTAGACATGTTCACATTTTCCCAAAATCCCCAAATATCTAGGGTTTTATATTAGAGACCAAAACATTTCCTCATTTTCTTGGTGAACTCCCATAAAATATCTTTCCCAAATTAGTAGAAGTGAACTTCTCAAAAATCAACTTAAAAACATTTGAAGTCTCAAACCTTCTATTTGAAAAATCTCTACTCTCTTGAGCCACAACCAAACTCTCCAAAATAAACTCAAGAGGAACATAAAATCAACATTTAATCTTGCAAAACATATATGTATAACTCAAGAATATCCCTACCTCAAGGTTTTGATGAAGAAGAAGAGTGGAAACCCTAGGATTGATGGTGCCAAGAACCAAATCTCCACCACATACAAGAGAGCTCTTGAGGAGTTCTATATCTTTGATGTAGAAACTATGGTTAGATTCCAAGTGGATGGAAGAGGATGAAGTGTTTTGATCTTGTTTTTGAGGTAGAAATGTCGAGAGAAAGAAGAGAGTTGTATTTTTAGAGAGAGAGAGAGAGAGTCATATAACAAAATGGTATACAAACAGCCCAAATGAAGAGAAAAAACTGAGTTTTCGGATAGTCTTAAACAAACTGAAAGTTCTGAAACAAAACAAGTCAACTTATGAGTTTAAACTTTGAGTTAAACAAATGAGACCAAGTAAATCAAATGATGCATCTACACAAAATAATAAAAAAAGAATCAAATGAATTTTTTCCCTTTGTTCCTTTGTTGTTGTTTTTCTTTCTTGCTTTTCATTGTTTTTCTTTTTCTCTTTCTTTTCTCTCTTGGTTTGCCTTTTTTGCTTTCTTTTTTTCTGCTTTTTATTCTCTCTCTTTTTTCTTTTTTCTTTTTTCTGCTTTCTTCTTCACTCTTTACACTGAGACTCGGCCGGACCTCACTGAAGCATGGCCGAGCATCGCGATAGCCGGCCGAGCTTCGATAGCAGCAGGGGTAGTTTCGGACATTCCACGCGATTTTTTTTTTTTGTTTAAAACAAACTCAAATCCTCATTTCTCACACCTTCTCAGCTGAAAATCCCTCCCCTCTCTCTCTCTCTCTAGATTTACTCTTTCCTTGAAGTACCCAACAACCCTTGCCATTTTTTTCTTCGAAATCCTTCTCCTCCCCTATACTTTGAACCGAACAAAGTTGAATTTGGTGGATTTTTGGGGTTCCCTTTTGGTTTTTCTCACATTTGCCCACACCTTCCTTTTATTCCCTTTTGATTTTTCAAAACTTTCTTCACTTTCTCTCTCCTAGGGTTTGAAATTTGGGATTTTACCTATTTTCACTCATCCCCTCACTTTGTCTCCATTTTTTCCACTTTTCCCCGTGGCTAGAAAAACAGAGAATGAGTGTTGAGTGATGTGAGAATCATAAATTACATTGGTGGAAAATAAATACTTGGAGAAGTAGCGGACTCCCTATCAATCAGGTGGTCTTTCCTCGGCGAACAGCATCTAAACCCGTCAAGGTTTTGGCCAGTGCCAAACCCATGCAACTCTTACCCTTTTTCAGACGTTGAGCCACTTCAATCAACTAGATGCTATCTCCGCCGAAACTAGGGGCAAGGAGGAATTGTGCAAGAAGGCATAAACAGAGAGCATGTTGCCGGCGACCTCGCCAAAAAAGGTCACTCCTGTCTCCAATGGCGGAAAATCAATGAACTAAATTGGAAATCTCTAGCTCTCCATCATGTGCTAAAGATCGAGTCTCATGTAATGTTAACCCACACATCCATCCCAAAGCTTGGGCATGGCTAAAACGGGGCTGCGATACGATTTCTTCGTCGCACCAAGACTCCGTCAAAGCTTGAAATTCCTCGAGTGTCGGACACACCTCTTGGGATCCGAATTGAAACACATTTGTGATTAGGTTCTAACATCGAACAGTGGCATAGAGGAATGGAAAACAAAGATAAGTGCGGCTTAGAGGAAAAAGGGCATTTAGGCCAAAAACTATGAAAATTCACCTTTTTCGAGCCGTTCAAAGTGGCTATCCAATCTTGGAGCCTATTGTTGCACAATGTCTCCATCTTGGGAGCAAAATATCAAAGACTTACTATTCTACCAGAAAAAAAGCATGGGAGCACCATTTATATAAGATGAGAAGGAGCAGTGCATGATAGCTAGGCAGCACTGACTGACCTCACACTTAGGCTCAGTCATGCCTCAGTGAAGCCCGACTGTGCCTATTTATTCCCGGCTGAGTCTAAATGATGTTTTAGATCAGTACAGTTGCAGGAAAAGCTAGCCTTTGTCTTGACATACCAAAGTTGTGTTTTTAGTCTTGTTTTGTTTGTACCAGGTGTTTTTTAGTATTTTCGAGTTGTTTTCATTTCTTTTCCCTATTATCGAGTTGTATTTTACATTTTATCCGGTTGTTGGTTGCTATCTGACTCAAGAATGAATGCAAGAGAAAATATTCATTGTTTTAAGCCTTATGCGAAGTTACCATGCAAAGGATGCACCATTCATCACATGCCATTCATTACATTATGCAAGGAGATTCCAAAACTTGTCTTTTATAACTAGTCGGTCCAACCCCGATTATTGTTTTACAGAAAAACAAAAAACAAAAACAAAAAAAAATAGATCTATCTGAAACTAGTCTTTAACTACAAAGCAAAAAAAAAAACAAAAACAAAAACAAAACAAAAAACAAAAGAAAATAAAATAAAAACAAAATCGTTGTCCTCATCAGTAACCCATCATCGCCCTCTTCCTCCTCCATTGCGGCGGAGGTGCGTCACTGTCATCGCTGAGGCTACTGGACCGCAAGTCAACCTTCTCTCCCTCATCCTCGAGGGTCATAGACCTGTCAAAAGACTCCTCAGAAGGTGAGCACCGCCTCACTCGGCACCTCCCTCGATCGGCTCCCCCTCGGCCTCTCACTGAGCCTTGTCTTCATCCATTAGCTGGCAGAGGTCCTGCAGGCACTACAGGCACCAGCTCAAGCTGAAAAAGAGA